GACCATACGGTGGAGCAATAGAATAGTTTGCTAAATACTAGGGAATTTAGGATTATGTAGAGTACATCTTTAGAGAACAAGTGTCGGTACCCTATTTATTTGAACTTACCGGTATGTTGACAAAAGAGAGGAGGTTAGTGAAGCGATATGGTCATTGAAGGTCAGGTTCGAGTTAAGTGTGATGCCGAGGTCCTTGGCGGAAGTTACAGGTACTAGATCTTGACCAAGAAAAGGTACGGTGATGTTACTGGGCAACTTAGAGATAAGTTGCCTCATCCCAAACAGGACAAACTTGGTTTTGTCAAGATTAATCAAAAGGTGGTTGGCGCAACACCACTCTGAAAAATGTTGGAGATCCTCAGCAACTTGGTCTAGACATGAATCAATGTCTTTTGAGGCAAACGAGAAATATATATTAGTGTCACCAAAGTAAGATTTGATCAGCAGTAAACTTGATGACTTCCGGTAGATTGCTCATGTACAGGCTGAAAAGCGTTGGGCCGAGAATTGAGCCCTGAGGTACGCCACGTGTAATAGTTAATGGTTCTGAAAATAGAGTTGCAACACGAGTGAACTGTTGTTTGTTTATAAGGTAACTTTCGAACCACAGAAGAATTCGAATTCTGTAGTTTTTAAAGTAGGGGTTGAATGGTATAGGCTGCCGAAGGCGTTGCTTAAGTCAATAAGCACCAATGCTGTAATTTGCATTTTATCCATGGCACTGAAGATGTGATCGCTTACTAGCAAGCTCAATGTTTCCGTCCAGAGGTGCTTTCGGTTTCCACTTTGGTGACAGGTGAGACGGTTTTTCTGGGTTAAAAAGTTGTTAAATCGATCTAGGGGGATTCTTTCAGCATCTTTGGAGAGCAAAGGCAGAAGAGAGATAGGACGATTATTATTTGGTATTTCGTGATCCCATCTTTAAGATGAGGACGTGCCACTTCGCCTTTTTCCAGAATCCTGGAAAAATCAAACAAGTAAATGAGTGGTCGATTGTGCCAGTTATTGTTGGCAGAACGGTACTCAAGACAATTCTAAAACAGGCACCTTGTCATAACCTGGGGCCTTGTTAGAAGGTAAGGCCATGATCACTTTTCGTACTTCCGCGCAAGCTCGCGCGAGACACTAGGTGGAATTCAAACAGGTTGTTGTCAGTATGTGGCTATGGCGGCGTCGATGTTGGTAGAGCAGTAACTGTTATTCAACCCGTGAGACTTAGCAAGTTCAGCAGACTTACTTGCTGTTTTTTTTCACTTGACAGAAAGAAAACAGCGATTAAATTCGATTCGTTCGCCAGAGTGCTTGTGTGTCCTAATTTAGGACACTGAGTAGGTTTACCCGGGAGCGCGCAAAGTATAGCCACTGGTATCTTTGTTAGCCATCACTTGTTGATTGTAATAGTCGCCGTCTGCCTTCTCGGTTTATTGTCTTATAAGTTCCTTTATCTCAGAAGTGATGGATGGGTTTAGTTTACGCTTCAATACTCTTTGTGGGTTGTCGGTAAATCTTGAGTAATTATCAACAAAACAAGTTAATTATTCATATTCGTTATTTAATTCACAGAAGTTCAGAAAACAAGTATAAAACGTCTTCATTCATAGTCAATTCACGATCATCATTTCAGTGCATTGAACTCTTTTTAAGCTACGCAATCATTTATTTCACCTTTATTTTCAAAACCGATGAAATCACCAATCATCATTCTACAACCTTTTATTTTGGCTGAACACAGTTTTGGCAGTTTGTGAGTATAGGTCATTTGCCAAATCATGGCAAGAGAAAGGTTGCAGCTCTCAAGCTGAAACTTGGCAAGTGAAAAATATACTGATGTAAGATGTTGACTGACAGGTAAAATTTGACGTTTTCCTAGTTTCCATGGCAACATGAACGATTGAATACAACCTTAAAATTCCATTTTTGCTCAGTTTAAATAAAATTCACTCATTAGATTTTCCTATAAACCTGCACACAGCTTACTATAGTTAATCATTACCTTTTGAAACTTATTTGACCAAATTTTAACAGACGGGTTTTTAGATAATCAATAATATAATTGTACTATAATTATTTAATGTGTCACAAAATTCGTCTGTTCAACTTCCGAGTCGAGGAGACCACTGAATTCGAGCACGAAAGAGTCTGCCAGATGTGCGAAGCATTGACATGATGTCAGCAGAAGTCAATTGGGTGCTGCGCGATTTTTCATAAAAATTATTCTATATTTTTCATGTTCCGGGATGTTTCGGAATGTTCCGGAATGTTCCGTGTTCTGGGTTTTATCGACCGCTCTACTGATTACACCGCCAAGAGAGAATAATCTCCTGCCACACCGATTGTTTTTCCGGTTTTTCTAAGAATTGAAGTCCCGCCTACACGCCATATTGTCGGATATTGTTATGTCAGAAACATTTGCCGCTAACTGACTGTAGGCAGAGGTTGCAAAATCCGATCTCAGTTTATACCGAAGCTTTCTGACAGACCGTCACCTGAAAACTTCAAAGGTATTGTAAAAAGATATATAGGGTGGCAACATTTTTATCATAATTTTTTAGCGTGTCCTCAGTAGTCTGCCGACGTTCTGCTCGGACTGCTTTCGACTCTATTACCGCAGTTAGTCGAGTCTTTTGTGAAGAGTTGAGCTTGACTTGTGTGCCAATTGAATCAAACTAAATGTGAAACTCAATTTAAACTTGTACTATAGATCCTTAAGGTTGACTTACCAATCACTTTAGATATAAAAATGCATTTTCACTTAGAAATCAAGCGACGGTAATCTCTATTTTGTACTCCGTCGCATAACCGCTATCCGAGCGAATCAAACCGTCTACAAGGAATCATTTCAACTAAAAGCTACAAGACACTCAGTCATTAAGTACTTTAGAAGAAAACTGTTAGTAGGATAGAGATTGAAGAGGTTCAAACCATGCAGAGATTCCGACATTGACGTCGACAAGACAAGAGCTTGTTAGATTCAAATTATTATTCGCTATAAAACTGTTATTTATAAAGGTCAGTGTAATTATATTAGAGCCGAAGCGAACGTCTCAACAGAGATCACGCGATCGCTTGTTTCTGAAGATCGTTCACTGATTATTATACTAATCTGTATAGCACCACTGGCAGCTCTCAGGAGTGCTTTTTGTGTAAAGTAGGAGGCAGAAAAGATCAGAAAAAGCGGTGACGCGGGTACATATTCGGTAATCAGTGAATTCTTTTGTCTTTCGAATCGGTAGGGTATTGGTACGGTTGGCAAGCTTTATCTGTTTACTCTCAAAATATGGTTTAAAGACATATCTAATTCGCTTAATATGGTAGTCTCAAACAGTGAGCCATAATAAAGTTCCTGGCTTTTCATAAGAAACGTGACCCATATGGACCATAAAAGTTCGAACCAATTCAATGGTGACTTGTCAGAATTGGCTTTCAAGCGGTTATTAGCTATATCGTTTAGGGCAGTTTGCTTATATCTTTGGAGTGATCGTTTTAATTAGGAAAGTATCTTATAACTGGTATTGTAAAAAGATAGATAGAGCGACCACATTTTTGATCATGAATATATGAAGCGTATTCTCAGTAGTCTGCTGACGTTATGCTCGGATTGCCTTCGACACTATTACCGCATGTAGAGAAGCAGAAGTGCCTTTATTTACCATACATTCATTCATAGACATAACCCATTACATTATTACAAGGCAGGAGATCAAGCAAGCTCTGTTGAGCTTTTAGACGATCTCCGAGTTATTCTGAATGGATGTAAAGACTGATATCGGAAGGCGGACTTCCTTTACTAAAACTATTACAACTTTTTCCGGCTAAATCACATACTCTTTGACTTTGTTCTTAAACCTCTTATACGAAGTTATGTTTCTTATATTTAAGGGAAGGTTGTTCCATATAATTGCTCCCTTAAAACCTAAAGAACATTTGAGTTGAGTTGAGCTGAGTTTATTATTTCCCATAATATTATACAGTACATACGGTGTGTTACAACGTAATAAATTTGGGAGGAAGACTAAAGAAACCCTTACGGGCTTTTACAAGTAGTCTCCCTGAAGGTAACAAAAGATCTATTGAAATTCAATATGTACGTTTTTCTGCTGATCGCGAGACAGTACAGGTCAACACGAGAAGTAAAAACAGTTGAAGATGATATTTCATCTTAAAAGGACAATGTAAATAAAATATTACAACTATGTAAGGATAACGAAACGAAGCCTGTTTGTACTAATTTTCTTGATACAGCGTTGCCGGGATTCTGCCAAACATACCCACGCTCTTGCATATTTATTCTGTAACTATGGTGTCTCCATGGTTTTGTAATAAACAGTCGTTTCCAGTCTCCTTTCTATGTTCAGAGTCAAGTACTTCGGCAGCATTACTAGCGCTTTTCGAGAATATTCCGAACGTCGAAAATATTAGGAAATTTTCGGAATTATTTTGCAAATCCAAAACTATTCCGAATTTTGAGAACCATTCCGAAGTTTCGGAATCATTGCGAAATTTTCGGAACCATTACGAGATTTCGGATTTTTTTTTTACACATGGCGGGCCATAGTAGGAATGTACATTTATTAGTTTTGAAAAGGTTATCTAAGAATGCTGGTAGCTTGTCATGAATATGATGCATAAAACGGCTGTTGAATTTGTATTTAATTCAAAGATAATTTTTATTTTCAGGGACTTGAACAGTGGTCCTGATTTTTCTGTGTATTTTGCTGAAAAGTCAAAATTCTCATAAGTTTTTTCTGTGTTTTGAGAATTGGATTTAGTCTAGTAAGATGAGTGCTTGCCCAAGTGATGTCACAGTATGTTAAATGTGAAAGGTGCGAAATAGGAGTCATTTCATAAGTAGGTTGAGTATGATCGTCTGGGTGAACGTGGTCCTGAATAGGACTGTTGCCGGTTGACAATGACTAACGTTTCGACAACCTGTGCACCAGTTTATGGATCGGTTTTCTTTAGAAGCTAAAGACCATACGGTGGAGCAATAGAATAGTTTGCTAAATACTAGGGAATTTAGGATTATGTAGAGTACATCTTTAGAGAACAAGTGTCGGTACCCTATTTATTTGAACTTACCGGTATGTTGACAAAAGAGAGGAGGTTAGTGAAGCGATATGGTCATTGAAGGTCAGGTTCGAGTTAAGTGTGATGCCGAGGTCCTTGGCGGAAGTTACAGGTACTAGATCTTGACCAAGAAAAGGTACGGTGATGTTACTGGGCAACTTAGAGATAAGTTGCCTCATCCCAAACAGGACAAACTTGGTTTTGTCAAGATTAATCAAAAGGTGGTTGGCGCAACACCACTCTGAAAAATGTTGGAGATCCTCAGCAACTTGGTCTAGACATGAATCAATGTCTTTTGAGGCAAACGAGAAATATATATTAGTGTCACCAAAGTAAGATTTGATCAGCAGTAAACTTGATGACTTCCGGTAGATTGCTCATGTACAGGCTGAAAAGCGTTGGGCCGAGAATTGAGCCCTGAGGTACGCCACGTGTAATAGTTAATGGTTCTGAAAATAGAGTTGCAACACGAGTGAACTGTTGTTTGTTTATAAGGTAACTTTCGAACCACAGAAGAATTCGAATTCTGTAGTTTTAAAGTAGGGGTTGAATGGTATAGGCTGCCGAAGGCGTTGCTTAAGTCAATAAGCACCAATGCTGTAATTTGCATTTTATCCATGGCACTGAAGATGTGATCGCTTACTAGCAAGCTCAATGTTTCCGTCCAGAGGTGCTTTCGGTTTCCACTTTGGTGACAGGTGAGACGGTTTTCTGGGTTAAAAGTTGTTAAATCGATCTAGGGGATTCTTTCAGCATCTTTGGAGAGCAAAGGCAGAAGAGAGATAGGACGATTATTATTTGGTATTTCGTGATCCCATCTTTAAGATGAGGGACGTGCCACTTCGCCTTTTTTCCAGAATCCTGGAAAAATCAAACAAGTAAATGAGTGGTCGATTGTGCCAGTTATTGTTGGCAGAACGGTACTCAAGACAATTCTAAAACAGGCACCTTGTCATAACCTGGGGCCTTGTTAGAAGGTAAGGCCATGATCACTTTTCGTACTTCCGCGCAAGCTCGCGCGAGACACTAGGTGGAATTCAAACAGGTTGTTGTCAGTATGTGGCTATGGCGGCGTCGATGTTGGTAGAGCAGTAACTGTTATTCAACCCGTGAGACTTAGCAAGTTCAGCAGACTTACTTGCTGTTTTTTTCACTTGACAGAAAGAAAACAGCGATTAAATTCGATTCGTTCGCCAGAGTGCTTGTGTGTCCTAATTTAGGACACTGAGTAGGTTTACCCGGGAGCGCGCAAAGTATAGCCACTGGTATCTTTGTTAGCCATCACTTGTTGATTGTAATAGTCGCCGTCTGCCTTCTCGGTTTATTGTCTTATAAGTTCCTTTATCTCAGAAGTGATGGATGGGTTTAGTTTACGCTTCAATACTCTTTGTCGGTTGTCGGTAAATCTTGAGTAATTATCAACAAAACAAGTTAATTATTCATATTCGTTATTTAATTCACAGAAGTTCAGAAAACAAGTATAAAACGTCTTCATTCATAGTCAATTCACGATCATCATTTCAGTGCATTGGAACTCTTTTTAAGCTACGCAATCATTTATTTCACCTTTATTTTCAAAACCGATGAAATCACCAATCATCATTCTACAACCTTTTTATTTTGGCTGAACACAGTTTTGGCAGTTTGTGAGTGTATTCATTTGGCAAATCATGGCAAGAGAAAGGTTGCAGCTCACAAGCTGAAACTTGGCAAGTGAAAAAAATACTGATGAAAGATTTTGACTGACAGATAAAATTTGACGTTTTCGTAGTTTCCATGGCAACATGAACGATTGAATACAACCTTAAAATTCCACTTTTGCTCAGTTTACATAAAATTCGCTCATTAGATTTTCCTATAAACTTGCACACAGCTTACTATAGTTAATCATTACCATTTGAAACTTATTTGACCAAATTTTAACCGACGGGTTTTTAGATAATAAATAATATAATTGTACTATAATTATTAAATGTGTAACAAAATTCGTCTGTTCAACTTCCGAGTCGAGGAGACCACTGAATTCGAGCACGAAAGAGTCTGCCGGATGTGCGAAGCATTGACATGATGTCAGCAGAAGTCAATTGGGTGCTGCGCGATTTTTCATAAAAATTATTCTATATTTTTCATGTTCCGGGATGTTTCGGAATGTTCCGGAATGTTCCGTGCTCTGGGTTTTATCGACCGCTCTACTGATTACACCACCAAGAGAGAATAATCTCCTGCCACACCGATTGTTTTTCCGGTTTTTCTAAGAATTGAAGTCCCGCCTACACGCCATATTGTCGGATATTGTTATGTCAGAAACATTTGCCGCTAACTGACTGTAGGCAGAGGTTGCAAAATCCGATCTCAGCTTATACCGAAGCTTTCTGACAGACCGTCACCTGAAAACTTCAAAGGTATTGTAAAAAGATATATAGGGTGGCAACATTTTTATCATAATTTTTTTAGCGTGTCCTCAGTAGTCTGCCGACGTTCTGCTCGGACTGCTTTCGACTCTATTACCGCAGTTAGTCGAGTCTTTTGTGAAGAGTTGAGCTTGACTTGTGTGCCAATTGAATCAAACTAAATGTGAAACTCAATTTAAACTTGTACTATAGATCCTTAAGGTTGACTTACCAATCACTTTAGATATAAAAATGCATTTTCACTTAGAAATCAAGCGACGGTAATCTCTATTTTGTACTCCGTCGCATAACCGCTATCCGAGCGAATCAAACCGTCTACAAGGAATCATTTCAACTAAAAAGCTACAAGACACTCAGTCATTAAGTACTTTAGAAGAAAACTGTTAGTAGGATAGAGATTGAAGAGGTTCAAACCATGCAGAGATTCCGACATTGACGTCGACAAGACAAGAGCTTGTTAGATTCAAATTATTATTCGCTATAAAACTGTTATTTATAAAGGTCAGTGTAATTATATTAGAGCCGAAGCGAACGTCTCAACAGAGATCACGCGATCGCTTGTTTCTGAAGATCGTTCACTGATTATTATACTAATCTGTATAGCACCACTGGCAGCTCTCAGGAGTGCTTTTTGTGTAAAGTAGGAGGCAGAAAAGATCAGAAAAAGCGGTGACGCGGGTACATATTCGGTAATCAGTGAATTCTTTTGTCTTTCGAATCGGTAGGGTATTGGTACGGTTGGCAAGCTTTATCTGTTTACTCTCAAAATATGGTTTAAAGACATATCTAATTCGCTTAATATGGTAGTCTCAAACAGTGAGCCATAATAAAGTTCCTGGCTTTTCATAAGAAACGTGACCCATATGGACCATAAAAGTTTCGAACCAATTCAATGGTGACTTGTCAGAATTGGCTTTCAAGCGGTTATTAGCTATATCGTTTAGGGCAGTTTGCTTATATCTTTGGAGTGATCGTTTTAATTAGGAAAGTATCTTATAACTGGTATTGTAAAAGATAGATAGAGCGACCACATTTTTGATCATGAATATATGAAGCGTATTCTCAGTAGTCTGCTGACGTTATGCTCGGATTGCCTTCGACACTATTACCGCATGTAGAGAAGCAGAAGTGCCTTTATTTACCATACATTCATTCATAGACATAACCCATTACATTATTACAAGGCAGGAGATCAAGCAAGCTCTGTTGAGCTTTTAGACGATCTCCGAGTTATTCTGAATGGATGTAAAGACTGATATCGGAAGGCGGACTTCCTTTACTAAAACTATTACAACTTTTTTCCGGCTAAATCACATACTCTTTGACTTTGTTCTTAAACCTCTTATACGAAGTTATGTTTCTTATATTTAAGGGAAGGTTGTTCCATATAATTGCTCCCTTAAAACCTAAAGAACATTTGAGTTGAGTTGAGCTGAGTTTATTATTTCCCATAATATTATACAGTACATACGGTGTGTTACAACGTAATAAATTTGGGAGGAAGACTAAAGAAACCCTTACGGGCTTTTACAAGTAGTCTCCTGAAGGTAACAAAAGATCTATTGAAATTCAATATGTACGTTTTCTGCTGATCGCGAGACAGTACAGGTCAACACGAGAAGTAAAAACAGTTGAAGATGATATTTCATCTTAAAAGGACAATGTAAATAAAATATTACAACTATGTAAGGATAACGAAACGAAGCCTGTTTGTACTAATTTTCTTGATACAGCGTTGCCGGGATTCTGCCAAACAGACCCACGCTCTTGCATATTTATTCTGTAACTATGGTGTCTCCATGGTTTTGTAATAAACAGTCGTTTCCAGTCTCCTTTCTATGTTCAGAGTCAAGTACTTCGGCAGCATTACTAGCGCTTTTCGAGAATATTCCGAACGTCGAAAATATTAGGAAACTTTCGGAATTATTTTGCAAATCCAAAATTATTCCGAATTTTGAGAACCATTCCGAAGTTTCGGAATCATTGCGAAATTTTCGGAACCATTACGAGATTTCGGATTTTTTTTTTACACATGGCGGGCCATAGTAGGAATGTACATTTATTAGTTTTGAAAAGGTTATCTAAGAATGCTGATAGCTTTTCATGAATATGATGCATAAAAAGGGCTGTTGAATTTGTATTTAATTCAAAGATAATTTGTATTTTCAGGGACTTGAACAGTGGTCCTGATTTTTCTGTGTATTTTGCTGAAAAGTCAAATTGTCATAAGTTTTTTCTGTGTTTTGAGAATTGGATTTAGTCTAGTAAGATGAGTGCTTGCCCAAGTGATGTCACAGTATGTTAAATGTGAAAGGTGCGAAATAGGAGTCATTTCATAAGTAGGTTGAGTATGATCGTCTGGGTGAACGTGGTCCTGAATAGGACTGTTGCCGGTTGACAGTGACTAACGTTTCGACAACCTATGCACTAGTTTATGGATCGGTTTTCTTTAGAAGACCATACGGTGGAGCAATAGAATAGTTTGCTAAATACTAGGGAATTTAGGATTATGTAGAGTACATCTTTAGAGAACAAGTGTCGGTACCCTATTTATTTGAACTTACCGGTATGTTGACAAAAGAGCTAGGAGGTTAGTGAAGCGATATGGTCATTGAAGGTCAGGTTCGAGTTAAGTGTGATGCCGAGGTCCTTGGCGGAAGTTACAGGTACTAGATCTTGACCAAGAAAAGGTACGGTGATGTTACTGGGCAACTTAGAGATAAGTTGCCTCATCCCAAACAGGACAAACTTGGTTTTGTCAAGATTAATCAAAAGGTGGTTGGCGCAACACCACTCTGAAAAATGTTGGAGATCCTCAGCAACTTGGTCTAGACATGAATCAATGTCTTTTGACGCAAACGAGAAAGATATATTAGTGTCACCGGAGTAAGATTTGATCAGCGGTAAACTTGATGACTTCCGGTAGATTGCTCATGTACAGGCTGAAAAGCGTTGGGCCGAGAATTGAGCCCTGGGGTACGCCATGTGTAATAGTGAGTGTTTCTGACAATAAAAATGCAACACGAGTGAACTGTTGTCTGTTTGTAAGGTAACTTTCGAACCATAGAAGAATTCGAATTCTGTAATTCTTAAAGTAGGGATTGAATGGTATAGGCTGCCGAAGGCTATGCTTAAGTCAATAAGCACCATTGCTGTAATTTGCTTTTTATCCATGGCACTGGAGATGTGATCGCTTACTAGCAAGCTCAATGTTACTGTCGAAAGGTGCTTCCGGTTTCTACTTTGGTGACAGGTGAGACCTGCTTCGTACCGTGACGTCTCTATCTCGATGAAAATGTGCGCGCAAAGGAAGGCGGGAAGGAGACAACGGGCGAGACGTCTAGCAGATCTTGTTTTCAAGATGGCGGCAAGAGTAATGGCGGACGAATATGCAATTTTTAAAATAAGTTCAGCCCTGTTTATTTTGCGAATTTAGAGCAAATCATTGTCGAGAACGGGGCTTCCTTTAATTTAATGAAACTGCCGCACGCCAAGGTAACAGCCGGCCAGGAAGGTTAGTAAGTTAGTAATTGTTTCTGTTAAGGTCCCCAGCGATGCAACGATCTTCTTAGTCGAAATGAAAAATGACAAGCTGAGAATTGTTGCAACAGCTAGCCAAATGAAGCTATACATTTTGTAAAGCTTTAAAATACTATTTGCTGCACGCTATATCTTGAGTACTCGAAAAGCCAACAAACCAGTCCAGTCTCAAGACCTCTACGTTATGTTGTTAAATAGATAATAAAATAATTTTTAAATGTTTGTCTCAGGATATCATACTGTGTATTTTTTTTTACTCGACAATTTAAGCTAATGTAAAGGAAAAACAGCCACAAAACTAGCTTTAGGGTTTTTTAATTGTATTTTTTAATTGTTCGATGACTTCACTGGATACCAGACTTGTCACTGAATGCACAGCCCGGTGTAAATAAATTCTACTTAATTTTTATTTTTATACCTCATTTTATGATGAAGCTGTGTAGAATGTTCAGCAAATACTTATTGTCTGTATTGTTTTACTATTTGTTTTTGTGATATTACACAGTAGACCAATTTAGTTTTGCCATGCTCTCTCGTGACACATCAATTGTGTCTTAATAAATAAATTATTGGTAACTTTGCTTTTAAGTTGATAGACACGGGCGCGCTTGGAGCTCCGCTATAATTTTCTATGTCAAATGGAACGCAACTGCGATCACTTTTATAAGTTCACTCATGACCCGAGCATGGATAAACAACACGCAGTGAACATACTGCCGCAGTACGTCTCCGTCTCCTCCCCAGAAAGGGGTAGAAGCCAAGGTGCACCATTTAAATGGTCAGAAATGAGTTCAGTTGAAGGAGGTGGAGGTACGAATTAGGCGTTCCGCTAAAAATGCCGGATTAGTTCATGTACCGTTAAGTAAATAGCAGTTGCCTTAGTCTTTGTAGTTGTCTCGGCCAAGTACTTATAGGCGAGACTGGCACACGGTTTTTCTGTTATAAAAACCAGTTGATTTTTACCCAGGCCCGTTATTTATTTTTGGCACTAATTGAGCTCCAATTGTTCAAAAATTGTTCTGAATGTTCGGCGTTCCGCAAGTGACGCTCGGCGTTTGGCGTTCAGCAAAATACTCCCTTTCGTAGCCTATTCCCGGTTCTCAGTAGGGAGTAGGGATGACGCCTTAGTAAAAAAAGCACGCGAAAAAATGAGTGCGTGATCTTCTATTTTTGTATTCGCGCTTTCCCATTTTCGAGGACTGGAGCCAGGAACAGGCTATGTCTGCCTCTTCCACTCTAACGGCAGACCAGTACATGTAGCGTTGACAGAGTTGAGTTGTGACTTTTTGAGCTTCGTGTTACCTATTGAATCAGACTAAATGAAATCCGCTGAAATTGTTACTACAGGGTCTTGAAAAAATACATTTTGCACCTACATTAGTAGTCAAGCGACATTAGGTTGTTTTCTTTAAGTTTCCACTCTGACATACTTAGAAGATGATCTTCTAAGTCAAGCTGGCCGGCACGGCAGTAGAACTACGTTTACCGTCCTTACCGTTAAATTGATGAGCCCCAAAATTAACCATTGCGGCACTTAATGTTACAAAGGATATAATACGTGGGTATATAATTCTGCAGTTTTCCACAGAATAATCTTACAACTCCAAATTGCACTCATTCAAGTTCAGGGCGATCGAAGCACGCACTTACCTTGCACAGCAAATTATAAAAATGAAAACAACATAAAATGTTAAAAAAGTATTTACAAAAAAATCGAAAACACCTAGTAGTAAGAGGTCTCGAAATCATTTTCGTTTTTAATTTTACTTCTAAAGTACCATAATATTTAAAACCTGTTGATACACGTGCCATTTTGAGTACTCCTTCAAGGGATGTTCATGTTCGACTGAAAACAACCGGCAAAGCGATAAGAAAGAAATCTTGACAAACAATCAAGACAAGAAATATAATTTAATGAAACATTTTTAAAGTGTCTGAAAATCCTGAGTCATGAATAAAAACCTTGCAGATTTATTTAAGTAATGCTTAAGCTTATTAGCTTTTAAGCCGGTTTCGCGGCGTTTGATATATGAACTCAAGGTAAGAATGGATAATTCTAAATATTCTTCAGACCTTTTCTTTCTAGTCGCGACCAGAAAATCTCTAAAGACTTTTTAAGTTATGTATATGTTGTAGTTAATTTTTTATTTCGGGTAATGTTTGTTTTTCTTTTGTTTTTGGGTATGGTCATATATGCTAATGAAGTTGAAACAAAAGAAAAATAAAAATTACCTGAGATAAAAAATTAACTACAACGCATACACCTATTTCAATTACGGTTGCTCCCGTGAACCATGTTTCATAGCCTGCAGTGTACTATGGTAAACCCTTTTGTAGCAGGAAGTTCAGTCTTGTTCACATTCATTGAAATAAAGGAGATCACTTGTGAGAAGGCGTTCAAGAGAGCTTTCAAGTCAAGTGGCTGCTAAAATTCTTAAGCATGAGCGAGCTGAAGAATTTCATAGTTTTAAAATCTCACAGTAAGAAATTGGAAGCCTCTTCTTTTAACAACATTAAATGAATAGGGTTTTACCGCCTGTCTATATAAGCTGCGTTTTTGCATGGGCCAGACTGCTGGTTATTTCAATTTAACAAATCAACTGGCTATTGTTTTTTCTATTCAATTTCAAAAAGAGATATTTGCGTAATGTTAAGTTATTTATTGTAGTTTATGAACAAACGCCTTGAATTTGATTTTTTTTTACTCCATCCAAAATTCCCACGTGCACGAGCGAGCAAACTCGTTGAAAATTTGCAGCATTTGTATATTACCACAGAGAAAAACCTAACCTCAAATCACTGTCTAAATTAAAAAGCCTAGGATTCAGTGTTTTGAAATACATTGTCTTAACGTTCTACTGACATAGCATAGAAGCGTCAACAGCGTTTCCTTTCTAGGTTTCTAAGCTCGTTGCGGGTGCAAAACTTACTAGACTTGCTACAGTAATGCACCGTGGGACCACGGAAACATAGATCGTGCATCGTTCTTCTCTGAAGCAACCTTAATTGACATAGGTGTATGAGACCTGATACTAGGTCTTACAAACGTTCGTAATTAAATAAAGTGACGACATAAAAATGGAACTAGAAACAAAACAAACACCAAATGCAACAGAAAATGTGCCGATCAGGGTAAGGTGGCCCGAACCTATTTATCTGGCGTTGGTTATGTTTTTGAATCGCATTTTTCGGCAGAAATGATTTAACCGATTTCTATGATTTTTGGCATCCTTAATAAAGAATGGTCGAACTTAAAAGTCGGCGTATGTTGAAAACCGCATTTTTACAAAAATGTCAATAATTTCAATTTTCTCTAACTTTGGCAAATAAGCCTCAGAGCTCTCTAGTTTTGTATTTGCAAGTTTGAAGTCAATCGTGACCGTAGAACTCGCTACACAAATAGCTGGTCAAATTTAACCTTAAAATGCAACGCTAACACATTTGTGAAAGTTGACACACAAATAGAGGACAACTGCCGACGGACTATCTCTTATCTGCAAGGGTACTCTTGCCCAAAGCTTCATTTGCAAGAAACTGATCAATCAGAAACCTACGGCGAGTACAGTTCGCAAAACAAGAAGAACAACTTTATGCTGAATTCGGGACAAGACTGAATACCTTCTATTTATCAAAGCTACTGTGTATTTTCCCTTCTCTTTTCGCAAAAAATCTGAACAAAGCACGATATAACATCTACGGAAATCTCCTACCAGTTTTCAGCACTGAAGGTTCCCGTCTTGAGGAGAAATAAAGCCACCAACTCCAGTACTTCAACCGATCCATTTTCAGATGCAACGAAAACCCTTGTATTAGGTAATTTATTCAAGTTTGAAAGATTTGCCATCACATTCGCACGGGCATTTTGCCATTAGGGATAATGAAAAGAATAAGTCGATTGTCATATTTTCTTCATCTTTATACCCAAGTGGCAAATTTCCCGTGCGAATGTGATGTCAAGTCTAAAAACCTTGAATAAATTACCAAATACAAGGGCTTTCAGTGCAGCTGAGAAATGGACAGTTAGATGTACTGGCAAATGGAGTTGGTGGCTCTATTTCTCCTCAAAACGGGAACCTTCAGTGCTGAAAACTGGTAGTCGAGATTTCCATAGATGTTATATCATGCTTTTTCAGTGGAACTTGGGTTCCGTATTCCAATCGGCAGTGAGATTCCGGATTCCTACAGCTATATTCCAGATTCCAAGGCCCAGGATTCCAGATTCCACAAGCTAAAATTTCCTAGATGGCGGAATCCCGATTCCCTTACATGTGGCGATTTGTAGCATTTCTACGAAATTCCTTACTAACGTCTTGAAAGTGTTCTGTCTTCAGTTAGAACTATCAATGCAAGCCGCTATTTATCTTTTACTTTTTTTCGTTAACGTATTTCAGGTCTATCCACCCATGGCTTCGCCAGAACCTGCAGCATCTAATTCTACCACAAAAGAGAACACTAACTTCAGCAGATTATGCCGTCTTGTTGCTGGTGTTGGTTGTAAAGTAATAAGGGAGGTATTTGATAAATATCATCCACCAGAGAAGCTTCAAGAAAATTTGGCCAAAGTAAAGAATCAACTGCGTGATCTTTGGAAAAACAAGAAAGTTCTAAATCCTTTACAATGGGATTACCTGTATCCTCATGTTGCAGATAGTGTAAATTCAGCTAACTTTGACGCAACTCTGCTGGTGATTCTTCTCAGGAATATTTGTCCCACTTTAGCTCCACCGGTAAAGGGTTGGAATAAGAGACCACCTGATTCAGATAAAAGTGAAGCGGCTGACATTCTCCGTATTAAATTCTTTAGAAACGAAGTGACTGCTCATCCCGCGACTGACTCAGTTGACGATGCAACATTCGATATCCTCTGGAAAAATATATCCGAACCAATTAAGAGACTTGGGAAATCGCCATATAAAGACATTGTTGATCAACTCAAAGGTGAATGCATGGACCCCGAACTGGACAGTCACTATAAAGAACTTCTAATGCAGTGGAAGTTGGCTGACGACAACATCAAGGAGAAATTGGAGCAAATGGACGAGAAGTTAGACCGACTTTTAGAAGTGCCAGCCCCGGGTATGTCAAAACAACAGCAAACTAAATCTTTGATATATATCATTGTACTTCTAGTATCTATATATAAATATACACAAAAGCAAGCTGGTTAAAAAAAGATTGAAAATTGGAGACGTTTGGTGTAGAAAATGAAAAAAAAAAAGTTAACACTTGAAACAATTTTAGGTACTGTGCAATAATTACCTGGAGGGAGAGCTGGGAAATGGATGAGATATGCCCCAAAACTAAGTCATACCCCCCCTCTCATTAAGCAAAAATTAATTTCAAGCCCCCTAACAAAATTATAATATTAAGGCTAACCCACCCCCCCGCCCCCCTTCCTTGAAAAAAGTCTCCTCCCATTCGTTCCACCATACCTAGTTACTTGTTGATTTCTTCCTCCGTTACAAACATCACTTCAAATGACTCTTCGAGGTATGTCAGGGGGGGGTGGGGGGAGGTAAATCTATTGTTTTCCACCTAAGTTTCTTGACCCACTCCGCATGCCAGTATGACGTCACATAGTAAAGGGCACGAGCCTCGGGTCACTTGTGCAAATTAGCGAGGGATACGACAGCTATTTCGAAGAGGAAAAGCGAGCGAGGTCGAGGAAAAGCTAAGAAGCTAGCAAATATCGCTATATATCGCTTATTTGATCGAATGTGTGTGAGCTTTGGTGTTGCTATAATCTGCTTGTGTAAACCGTTTTGATATTTTGTGTCCTTGATTGTATAATTTTGTTAATTTGTTTTGCGGGCCGTGTTGTGGGTTCGCCATCTATTTCACGGGACCGGCAAGGTCATCAAAACTTAAATTTTTTTTTCTCTAAAATAGGCAAGGTCTAGAATAGGAGGTTTCATTTACAGATCACGCATGTTTATATTTCATATATTCTTTTGCTAATTAAATGGGCTTAACTTCATATCATTCCTTTCGAGTGTGGGCCTCTGTTGATCTCCTAATTCTCCGCCAAATTCAGTAAAGCTAGTTCGATCGATTATCTACATCTAGTCGGCCTTTTGAACCCGAAACAATGCGAAATAGCTTTGAAATACGCGCTTAAGCTAATTTTCCTCAAATGTATATTTGAATTCATGATAAATAGAGCTCGGCCACCAGCTTCAAACAGCGTCTATGGCAGAGAAAAATGTTTTGATGTGACAAAATTAATTTTTCAAACCATGTCTGTCACTGTGGTGCAGTGGTCAAGGAGTTTCTTGCACGTGCAGATAAACTGGGTTCGACTCTCGGCGACGCTGTTTCTTTTTCCCCCCTATTTGGTCTCTTTTTTTTTAACACTATTTTTCCTTTTGGCCTTTTTTTCTTTATTCTTACTGCTGACCCTGCTGGTCATTCACTTGGATCAATATATATTTTAAGCTCAAGTCAGGAGTTTTATTTTGGAAAAGGGATTTCAGAACCGGATCTGCATACTGGCCAAGCTTACGACCAGATAAAAACCATAAGCTGTCAAGACATGTCCCTCCTCTGAAACAGCTGAATTTTTTTCAATGTTAGTTGACATCGTGACAAACAACACACAGTACACCACAAACTGTACTAATTTACACCTAACACCCACCAGTGACCCACTGGCGAAAGTTAAACGTCGTCTTAATCATCAATATTATTACCCTAAATTCTCCACTGGGTTTGCCCCCAAAAAATGATTAAACGAAACCTTTTATTACAGGTGTATGCCCAATACAGTTTTAAAATGCGGTAAAGCAACAAGATTCAGTGCTCAGTCTCTCACAAAGACCTGTCATTTAGCTTCCTCTTCAACGCTACAGCTAAGCGAACTTTGAGAGGAATGATATAGGGTTCCACTGGCTCTGAAGAGCTGAAAATACGCAAAATGTAAAGTGTAATACATCCTTTGATGAACCTCCTATTGCTGTGTCTAAACTCTTCAATCTTGCCGTGCACTGGTCCTCAAAAGTGTGACCGGTCGGTATGATTGCCCGTAAAATTTGCTCAACGATAGAAAGGAATCTTTACAATTCAATACACCACTGGACATTTCATTCCAAAAAAGTACTTAAGTCTAGTTTTCTATGACAATAGAACCTTAAAATCTCCAAATCCAAGAAATTGACACAGTATTTCCGTGATAAAATCGAAATTTTTATCCGTCTCTTCGATGAACACTTTGCTCGCCATTTTGAACGTCACTGACGCGAGAAGTGACGTCATACTGGCAGGCGGACTGAACCACAGATTTCCTTGGAGACACCTTCCCGCCCCTGACGTTTGTCGAAGAGTCATTTGAAGAGTTATCAGAATCACTCGACTCTGAGTTTGTGTCGTCTTCGCATGAATTGGGAGATTCCTCATCTTCTACACCATCTCTTACACTAAGGTTCCCGCGTACGTGGGTGAGAACTCAGGAATTCCTGTCTAACTGAGCTTTTTTTTGAAGCTCAATTTAATCATACTGTGTTTTATTTACCATACTTTAAATTTGTATTGCTATTAGTATTTCAACAATTGGGTTTTTCATTCTGCTAAATTATGATGCCATGTGTGCTTACATTGGCATCTTTCTTTTTCATTGAATAACATTATAGTGCTACTTTTGCAACTTTTAATTAAAGTTTCGTGTTTTCTTAAATCCTAGTGCAAATAAAGTAGCACTGTTTTAACATATATAACAGAGGCATTCCTTTCCTACTGCATGACAGATGGGAAAACAACAGTTCATAGATCAGGCACCTTAGAGTTGATAAATTTGTCAGTTTTATTCCAATGTTAGTATTTATATTTGAACTCTAATAACTCTTCCACTACTTTTCCAGTTTGCAAAAGGAATGAAAAAGCAATGCCCCCCCTGTATGTATCAAATTTTACATCCACCCCCTCTCTCTCTTCTTGTCATTTTCTCCTATGCCCCCCCTCTAATTTTCCAACCCCCAGGTAATTATTGCACAGTCCCTTACTATGTAGCCCGATGAAAGTCGGTATATATTTCGTTCGAAATATTAGCCTGCGGACACAGACGTATTTCCCGTCGTCCCTTCTCTCTGCCAGAAAGGTAACTCTTTGGGTGGAGAGAAGCGTCGACCGGAAATACGTCTGTGTGCAGGCTTGCACAGTCACGTTTTAGGGTGTGCAACTGTATTACTATGATAAACGGTATTAACTCTAGAAATCACTTGTTTTGGCATTCATTGCTTTGTAGTCAGTATCTAGACATCTGCTTGAAATAAAATATACCTATGTATGCAGCGTTTAAGCCAGTCCAAAAATAACGGTACAAGAGATTTGTGACAAAATATTTGCGAATTTTTATTCCGAAATTAATACGATCAATCGAATGCACCCTTAGATTAGTCGCGTCCACTCCAGGAGCCTATCATCTGTCGCGCCTCGTTTTCCCCTGCCGGGGAGGGCTTACTATAGAGGATTTGCGGCATTTTTCCTTTTATAAATGGCTCTATATAAACCTGAACATAAACAGGAACCAAAGCTGCATTATTTCTGTCCGATACATTCAAAAGACTGGCCTTATACTGCTGCGGTATAGATAACAGTGGCGATCGTCAGTCTTAGGTTATGTTCACACTATGACGGATAGCTTTTCCCGCCGTCACGAGAATCATACCGGATAAGGCTTCTTTTCACACACAAGAACGGTTGCGGCGGCGCGATTTCTGCGACGGGGCGAAGCTGCGCCACGCCGATCTGTAAAGTAGAGAGTCGCATATCGGATAGGTGTTCATCTATACCCGATAGCTTTTCATGCCGCCACGATAAGCTATTCAGTATAGTGTATACATGGCCTTAAAAAGTCAGAGGGCTATTGGTATCCTGGCAAGACATTATCAGGCCCCAGTTGTTCAAAAGCTGGATAGCGCTATCCACCGGGTAAATCACTATCCAGTGGATAAATATTAGGGGAGCCAATTGCACTATCCAGTGGATAGAGATTTATCTAGTGGATAGCGCTATCCACCTTTTGAACAACTGGAGCCAGGTGCGCTTCTTGAAAGCTATTAGTTATTTGATTTCTAATTTTTCTTATTTCATCTCAGTCATGCACATTACAATCAACGTAATAAATCTGCCCGGTTCCTCTCAACCAAGTCAAGCAGCAGGTGGGTCTGAACAAGAGCAAGGAGCAATGGCAGAAGTAGAAGCTTTAAATCCTTCGACAGAGGCACGCATTTGGAATTTCGTTCTGTCATTGGGGATGCCTCTGGAATCACTTATTAAGTACTTGAGAGATAATCTGAATGTTGATCCAAAACGTCATGATCAAGGGAGTTTGGTGATTACTGTTGAATGCAGCTCATTGAAGATCCTTGAAGGATTGTGGGAAGACTATTGTAGCGGACATCTTAATGCAGTGGCTCAAGAAACTCTCATTACCGCTGAAGTCCTGGAAAAGTTTGGACTGAGTGAGATCAAGTTGAAAACCTTTATTTCTGAAAAGGAGTACGAGAGCGCAAGACAAACTTTCAGTAAAACAGGTAAGCTACAACTTCCAGGTGCATATTCATACACACATCTAAAGCAGAAATATATTAATTTTATTTTTAGGTTATTACAAGATATCTGTTACCTATCTTCCCTGCTCCTCATGGTGCATGAGGCCTTCACAGATCATTTTCATCTTTCCCGGTCAATGATCATCATTTAGCATTTAGCAGATTGTATAGGGTTAGGGTCTCTGTTTGTTTTTTTCGTTTTACTTAGTCAGGCCAAGTTTTTCGGGGGTGTTAGGAAAGGACCTAAGACCTAAGACCGGGACAACAAAGACCTGAAAAACTGAGACCTGTAAAATTAAGACCCCAGAAAACTAAGATCCGGTAAACGAAGACCCTCTTAATTTTAGTTCTTTCATCATTCATAGAGGCACCAAAAATCCAATATTGAATAAATACCAGGCGTAGTCAATCGATTAACCGATAATCGATAACAATCGTTTGTAATCGATATCAATCTTCGATGGATATCACTCGTTAGAAATCGACAAAGCAAAACGTTTTGACTTCGATTAATATCGATTTCCAATAGAAATCGATCTCATAATGATTGATTTAGCAATTGTTATCGATTGCTATCGATTACTATCGGAAATGTAAGCCTTTCAACGTTAACACAGTGTTGTCTGTACGGTATATTTGAGTCATTCAGTCGTGATATTATGCAGTTCTTTTACTTGATATACATTGGATTGGATCCCAATTTGAGCGAGTTGCAAGGAAAGAAATGCAAAATGCAGAAGATGGCCCTGGATGGAAGGGACAAGTAAAAATCTATTAAAACCATAAACAAGAAACAATAAATGAAACGCGATGAAGACTATGCCTAGAGCAGATGCTAAAGTCAAAATTCAGGGGCACCCAACGACGGTTTCCTCCTAATCAGGTTGAAAACACTTTTTAGGCTGCCCAGAGACATGTACTTTAAGATCTCTAGAAACGCATTCTAAGCGGCGCTATAAAATTTGTATCTGTTCGGTCTTCCTAGGGGAATGTGAGTCTTTTCAAAATTACAGGAGCTTCAGCATTATTTTCCTGAAAATTTTAGATGCAATTTAACGTTTACGAAAGTGTGAATTTTACTGATTCCTCTCTCCATCACATTTTTGAATCCGAAAATTTTAGGTTTCTTTTTTTCTACGAAAAATAGCCTAACCTGGGCAGTAAAAAGTGAAAAATTAAAGCTTACAAAATCGTAGAGAATTTTAATTATTAGATGAGTTTTGAAAATTGTACATGAATGGAACGGTCATCTAGAACTTCCCACTGACTACTGGCAGCTCTCAGCAGTGCTTTTTTGTTGTAAGTAGGAAGCAGAAAAGATCAGAAAAAGCGGCGACTCGGGGCATCTTGACTTTAGTGAATATTTAACAATTATTTCTCGAGCCCGAATGGGCTCTTAGTCAATATATAGCTCAGACGCCATGAGGGCGAGAGGAATAATTGTTTTAGTAAAATCCAACTAGTTGGTCAAAAATATCGAGACGAAACAACTTAAGCTAGCAAAACGCGATTCAGCCGCCATTTTTTTGGTTTTCAAAGCCGGCACTTTTCGCTAATAGTGGGCTATAACATATAGCCTAGTAGTAGCTCAACCAATCAGAACGCAGCATTGATAATAGATCACTAGTTGGATTTTACTAAATTGTTATATCGTTTAGGGCAATTTGTTTATATCTTTGGAGTGATCATTTTAATTAGGAAAGTGTTTTTAAACGGGACTGAAATCAGTGTAAAAAAACAAAAACTCATTGTATCTAGCGATCTAGCGATTTACGTAGTTTTTGCCAAGGTATTTGCCTCTGTATCCATGCGTTTTTGGCCACGTGGCTAAAGTAATGTTACCTAACGAGCCGACCAATTGACTTTTCTGGCGGATATGAGTGATATCAGAAAAAAAATATCCTGCGGACTGATTTCGAGGGACAAAAAATCTTGCAAGGGAAAAATATCCTGCACTGAAAAAAATATCCCTCATGGCATATAATGCTGGAAAAAGACCTTACACCGTTATATATTTATCCTCAGAGGTTTGAGAAAAAAACATTCTTACCCAAACCAAATCACCCATACCGGCTACCCCTCAAAAGTCAAAAGGTCGACCCCTAAGGGATGTTGCAAGTTATTTAAATGAGTTTATTATTTTTTCTTTCTCGCGCTAAACGCAGGTTGGCCCTCTAATGGACTATTCAAGTTTGAGTTTTTCAATTAAATTGATTTTCGCGGGTAGGTCTTTACAGCCTGTCTTATTCTAGGCATAGCAGCTTTAACCGGCATGTCGAATTTTTTTGGCTTGTCGCTGGAAAAAATCTGCACCTCATTTAAAATTTGCATGATTATTGAGTGTTAGTCGAAATAATTTCCTCGATTTTGTTGATTTTAGTCATTTGGATATACCTGACTAGGTCCCGGAACAAGGAACACCTCGGGAAGTAAAAAAATAAAAATAAGGGTAAATGTAATTTAGGGGCTGACCCGACTTTTGAGGGGGGTATGGGTAATTTCGGGAAAAAATATCCTGCAGACTGATTTCGAGGGGAACAAATTCTTGCAAGGAAATACCTACACTGAAAAAAATATCTTTCATGGCGTATAATGCTGTAAAAACATCTTACACCGTTGTATGTTGGGAGAAAATTCTATCACCAGAGGTTTGGGAAGAAAAAATTCTTTCCCAAGCCAAATCACCCACTGTCTTTCTCATTTTTCGTTTAATTTGCCAGGTTTTCCGCGGTTGTTCCGGGGCTGTTCCAAAGTGTTCCCGTATGTTGTTCCAGGTCTTAGAACATCTTATTTGTATCTTCGGGCTTGTTTATATGAGGTGAGCCAGCGTGGTAAGCCAGGTTGGCCCGCTTTCGTTTTACCGAGCTGGCTCAGCTCATGCCTTATATCCTCTTAAAAATGTCGTTGTGTTTTTATGGGAAGGCAAGCTGGCCCCCTTGCCGAGATCTCGGCTTGAGCAACCGGGATCTCGGCAAGCTGGGACAGCCCTCCTTCCCTGTCCTATAAACACCGCCACAACAATTTTAAGAGGAAATAAGGCATGAAGCCAGCTAGCCCGGTAAAGCGAAAGCGGGCCAGCCTGACTAACCGGGCTGGTTCACCTTATGAAGAGAGCCTCAGGCCCTTAGTAGCATTCGTCATTTTGGAATGGAATAAAAATTGTAGCATGAAATCAACCACACGAATAATTGCTAACTACTTTCCACAAATAGCTTCCAGTCAGACATTTTAAGCATGTTGCAGGCCCCGTCAACACCTGTCCGGTTATTTTTGAAAAAGAGAGTTTTTTTACCCGTTTTAGCCTTCCGTCCACAAGTGAACGGCGTTTTCGTGCACCAAAAACGCCAGTTTTCGAAAACGGTCCCCAGACTAGAGATTGTTGAAAAGGCCGGCTGATCATTTTTGTGTGGACCGGACGAAAATGGAGGTTTTCGAATGCGAAGATGGCACACATCATACAACACATGTCTTGTAAGGGATATTTTCATTGTCTTTAGTGCTTTCGTATGGACAAGCAAGATCTATTCAAATACTTTACGCACGTGCGTTGACGTGTATTTTATAGAAAACGGAGAAAAAATATGTTTTCAAAAAAATGCGGATACTTGTACTTGCAGACGCTCTAAACCTTCTAGGTTGATGGTTTAGACGAGTACGTGAGCCGGCTGCAGCGCAGGCTACCTGAAACTAAATAACAAACCCTGAGGACGAGGATGAAAACGAAGAGACCAAAGAGGCCAAACAAGGTAGTGCCCCTTTGGGGATTGGTTATTTAGGCCACATAGTAACAGGCTAAGAAAGAAAGCAACACAAATTAAAATCACGTTGGGATATAATGCAAAGGCAATTTTTTTGAGAGGCACTGGCCTTTCTTTCCAAGGTTCTCGAAAACAATGCCTCTGGTTTCGTCTCATGACAGTCTTGGAATCTGGATTCCACGCTGTGGATTTCGGACTCCAGGTACTGGATTCGGGATTCCTTGACAGTAGGGCGTATTGTAGATTCCAGTCGTTAGTGGGATTCCGAATACCTAATAGGCTGAAAACCGGATACCAAAGCCTCCACGAGCAAAAATTCCCCGGATTCGATCTGGCTTCCACAAGCAAAAATTTCCCGCATTTCGGAATCTGGCTTCCACAAGCAAAAATTCCCCGGATTCGATCTGGCTTCCACGAGCAAAAATTTCCCGCATTTCGGAATCTGGATTACCTTAATTTTTTAACACATGTTGATACAAGGGGCGACTGGTAAATAGACGTTACAGACCCGAGAACGCCGGATTACGAGTCCGAAAGTCCAACACGTTGACCGCTTTGCAACGCTGTTGTTTCCTTCATCTTTTACATGATCATCTTATATATTTGTTATATTTCATATTATTCAGAAATGTCAGATTCCGAAATCCCCAGTCAATCAACTTCCGCCTCTGGCAGCAGCAGCAGCAGCAGCAACAACAACACCAACAGAGATCCACCAAAAATCAATTTCAGTAAGCTACCAGCAAAGAAGGAGCTGAAGATGAAGGATCTTCTCGCAAGGAGCATACCTTGGGACCAGGTTGAAATCCCTGTCGATGTTTTGTTGCTGACAGTGGAGGACTGCGAATTTTTGGCTTGCGTTTCTTATTTGAATAAGGGATTCTATAAAAGTCATCATGACAAGCCTGGAATTGTGTATTTTGGGAAAATTGGTAAAAAGGGGCAAGATACCTTGAAAATTGCCTTAATGAAAAGTTATATGGGCCCTATGAATGCTCTCACGACTGTGAAGAACGCCGTTGAAGTCTTAAGTCCAAAAGCTGTAATTTGGGTTGGATCTTGCCGTGGTTTAAACGCCAAGAAGGTCAATTTAGGAGATGTGGTAGTTTCGTCGAAGTTGAGAACATATGCCAATGAAAAAGTAACAGACAAGGGAAATGAAGATTGGAATGATGCTGTCCCGGTGTCCACACATCTTTCAAGGCTCCTTTTAGACGCGGGTCTAGGCTGGAATCCACCGTTGAAGAATGTGGCGGAGCTCGAGGTGAAAGTACAAAATGGTGTAATTTTGAGCGGCCCAAAGGAGGTTGATAGTAGAAAGCTACATGCAGAACTTACCGGGCGATTCGGTGAAGCCATTGCTATAGACATGGAGGGCGAGGGTAAGACGTTAACAGTTAACAGTTTACGTTAACAGTTTCAGTGAAGATCGAGTAAGACAAGAGTGCGAAGCGCGAGCAAGGCAAGAGTCTCGTACATAAACCAACTGCCTTTTTTAACTGGAAAACACATGAGAAGATGAAAAAAATGGCCTGTTGTTTCAATATTGTAATCCACCTAACTCTGGCCCATCCATAGCCAAAGTTGAACAATTATAGTCTGATAGAAAAATATAAGGGATGGGCGAGGATGAAGATAACAAGTCAAAATTTAGTTTGGTGTTTTTATCTAATCGGTGCCCACTCTCGAGCCAAAGTGAATGCTGTTATGAGAGTTTAAAAATCCCAGTTCAGTTTTTGCCTTGTTTATTCGAGTTCATAGCCCGCGAAAGCAGACGTATTTTCGGTCGTCGCTTCAAACAGAGGCACCCAACGACTGTCTTTCTGTCAAACAACTGTTCGAAGGAGCAAATATTTCCTAGAAATTTCAAAAGCTCGAGAAAAGCTAAAAATTTATTGGTAAGTGTTCTATTCGTCCAAGATATTGCAGTTATTGTATAAAAAGGTCTTTTGAAAATTTAAGTATAAAACGTCCAGTATAATCTTATCTTCCAAGAAAAGTACGTCTACTCCAGGTCCTCAAAATTTCGACCGGACCAATCAGGGTAGCTGACAGTTTCGAATGAGGCGAAAAGCACCTAAAACTATCGAGACGACCAAAGTTCCCCTAAGACACCCGAACAGAAAAACAGTTTTAAGGGGAACTCCAAATTAACCAAACAGGCTTCTAAAGTACAGAGAAAACCATCTGAGACACTTCTGGCGAATTTGGAAACATTCGGTCAAATACATCTGCGTTCACAGGCTATGGAATTTGCGATGATGAATAGGATTCCTTGGCCCCTGTAGTTGACGGCTGTAGGTCTCTTTGTCCTGCGTAGACTAAAGCAAAATCTTTCTTTTCAGGTCTCTATAAAGCAGCGCATGACCTGAAAATAGAATGGGCAGTTATTAAAGGCGTTGCTGATTACGCAGATGGGACAAACTCTAGCACAGACGAGTGGAAACGATTCGCAAGTTTTATGGCAGCTTCTGTAACTGCTAAGGTCCTTGATTCCAGTCCGTTCAAGAACATGCCTAATTATAAAGGTAAGACCAACAATTAGTGTGAACGACACCGAGGCCAACTTCCTCCTTTCCTCCTCCCAATTGCTTAACCCGAAGACTAGGGACAAGGCCGAGACTCTTCGTCGATAGAGGAGCGGAGATGATAGTTCGTAATCAAAAATCATCGACATTGTGAGGTCAAACAGAAGATTATCATTCTTTCATAATATGGGCGTCAATACCGTGGATAAATGTTAAAAAAAGAGCCAACGCTGACCAAATTTGAAGGAGGTTTGCTATTGTTCTATCATTGACGTCAGTCACTGACGTCAATGATGGATTAATAGCAAATTATTCAAGATTGAAGCCACGCAAGACAGCCGCGCGGCAGCTTGGCTGTTTTGGCAGTGCAAAGATCAAGAAAATGACCCAAGTTTTCGCAGCTAAACGAAGACGAAATAATCAAATTACTGACAGAGAAAGTTAACAAAAATACTTAAAATTTGTTCAGCAACCGATGAATTCGTCGTTTCGCCAAACTTTTCCCTGCCCCCGTTACTGGCTTTCCCGAGGCTGAGAGGGAAGAGCGCATTTGAAAGCGGGGTGTTGGAGACGAGAGTACGAAGTGCTCTCAGTTGGGGATGATGGCAAAGAGCCACTGAAGAGCGAGGAGCATGAGCGGGGCACCAAAATAGAGAAAAGGAAAAATAAGGAAAGCTTTCTCCGCGTCCCGTTTCTCCCTTGGCACCCTTCTCGTCCCTAGGGTTTTCCCTTAGGACGAGGTTGTCGTCGCTCCCGCTTTCATAGACGAATGTTTGTTTACATTTTTCCCTCAGTGACATATGCTCAACCTCGTCCCCAGGGCCCTTCCCCTCAGATAAAGAGAAGGACGGGAAAAGGCCCTTTCGTTCCCCCCCACCCACATTTTCCGGGGGCCGGAAAACCGGGGGGACGCCTTTCATTCTCTGCCCAAGTTATTAAAATAACATCTCTAAATACTGAAAAAGCATAAAAAATTCAGTTATCTGTGAAAATTTGTGCCTGTTATCCCGAGTAGTTTCCGAGGAAACGACATGGAAAGGAAACGAAACTTTATAGGAATTCGTCAGCTCATTACTATTTCTGCCACCCAGCAATTTCGCAGATTTCCGAGATCTGCTATTCCCTTCGTTATTGATCGTAAAGAGCTGAAAATTGCACAGATATATCACGCCCGGACAGCTACATGCGAAAAGTGGTCACTTCTAAATTCCATCCGTTTGAGCTAAGACTTTGCAGTAAAATAGAACTCCGTATTCCTAACAATCACATGTTTTTAGATCACTTAGAACTTAGCGGTTTTGGCGACAAAATGACGTCATAAAGTTGACAGAAAAAAAACAATTTTCGGCTTTTGACGTAACAAATAAGCAATTTTAAAGTACTCAGAGGTGAACCGAAGAGTGAAAAAATTGTCTAAAAAGCTGTAGTCATTTGGTTGTAAAGAAATGGCATTCTAAAGATCAATTGTCTGATGTTGTCTAATGCTTCTACAACTAGACACCAGAGTATACTGAGCTGTCATAAAACCTAGACTAGATAGAAATAATGTATTTCATGAAAACGAGAAGTTTACCACAACAGACAGCTGACAGCGTGTGAAAGGAAGAAGTAACGCTGATAAACCCATTCCCATGCCGAACACCACCCCAACCAACGAGTTTTATAAAACTGTTTGAACTGAGACTATAAATAGATGACTAATAATTCCAATGATATTGATTGTCGATACAAAACAAGCTAGGTGGGTATACCGTGTGGCACGAAATTTTTGCAGGAGTTTATTTTTGCGGATTGGTGATTTTTCCTGTTTTGCGGAAACTAATTAGGACAGATTGCTTTTTCTCGCTGAGAATCAATTTTTACGATTTTCAAAAAGTACCCAGTACCTTCCCTGCTGGCAGAGGTCTCTCACGACGAGGCAAAAATGAGAGGGAAAATGAGAGACCTCTGCTAGCAGGAAACCATTACCCAGCGTTTATAATATTTTCGTTCTTGTTAAGTCCGTGCAATCAGGGTGCAATAGGAATACATATTTTCCAACAGTACTACGGTAATGGATATCCTGTGTAAAACCAGTAATTCATTGTATACCGTTTTGTTTCTGAATGAAAGAGGCAAGTTGTGATTGAACAGACACGATTTCTTAGTACTGTATTTTTGTGTAGCGAATTTAAATTAGAGTATATTTACTCTCGAGTAAATTTTCAGTCAAATTGATCGATTGAAAGTCTATTTAAATAGTTAGATTTGAGACCTATATTTATCAAGTTTAATGGAGTCAATGTGATGAATAAGACTGGCTCTTAAATCGATTTTTAAATAGAATTAAATTCTCTGTTGTATTAAGACATTTTGAATACGTCCCCTTGACATTGTCACTTCTAATTATGACTCTGTTTTATTAGTCTCAAAGTACTTCTTTCGGAATATCCACTTTAACCACTCCGAAAAATACATCCTTGTTGATTCGTTTAACAACATCTTTAATTTCTAAGACTTAAAAAATGGCACTTTTAACACTCAGTGCACATATGGATGAAAACTAAAAATTGACTATCGTATTACAGTAACTGTTTAAAACTGTAAAAGGTATAGAAAACTTATAAAATGGCACTTTTACAGTCAGTGCACAATACAGATGAAAAAAGGCTGAGTCTCTTATAACTATTTAAAATTGTTATTTATTTACCAGCTTCTCTGGACACAGGCCAGCCCAGAGTGTATGTGCACGAACGGGACTCAGGTCACATGCGAGGTGCCATCCCTACCCAATCCCACAACCCGTAAAGGTTGGCCACACCATGGCCACAGGTTCTACTCTTTTCGAATAGTGGTGTGAGTTCTTTTACGTTCCACATGAACAAATCAGGGAAAGTGCTGTGAGACGGAACCTACGGTTTTTCGTCCTTATCCGAGAAGACTGGAAAGTCTAACCATTTGCAGATGTCATTACAAAGGCAGCACTTTCTTCTCAGTTATTTAAAGACCCTGAGTGTTGGTCCGGCCGGGGTTCGAGCCCGTGACATCCCGCTCGGCAGACCGGCGCTCTTCCAACTGAGCCAATCAGAATTGTAGCAAGACATTAGTAAAAATAGCACTTTTTTGGCATTCCAAACGGAGTCTTTGCGTTTGGTTCTTTCCTTCTTATCCGGACCAGTGCTTAAAATCATTACACTGTGTGTTGTTTTACTTTACAGGAGTCGTCTCAACAACGCCAGAACAGGCCCTCAAGCAACAAGGACAGGGCCCACCGAGAACGCCTGTAAGTATCTGATTATAGTGGCGTATATGATACTCTTCCTTTGTTTTTATTCTACTGCCTCTGTACAATGACAGAACATGGGGGCGCGTTTTACGTGCATGAGATATTTTCATTCATTCATTCTAGTCTTATTTTAAACTTTATAGCGGAAGGACATCTGTGAGCAGGGAATAAGTCAGCACAGAATTTGATGGTCGGCGAATTTCTGTAATCGTCCATCGTTCTGCTAGTGATAAGCTAGCCGTTGAATCATTCGCTCGTCTTGCTTGTTTTGGGCCGAGTCTTATTCCGGTCAAAGAGAAAGAAAGAGTGTCTGACAAGGTTCAGCTGAAGGTTTCCAATCAAAGATTTGTGAACTCGTGTCCGGCAAACTCACTTAGTGTTATAAAATACACACTGTTCTACGCACCTTATAACTTCATCTGCGCTTAACGAGTGTCTTTTGGTCCATAACTTTCATAACAACTGCTCCAAGGAATGTCACTGATCCGTAACGCAAAAGAGTATCGAAGTGTGACTGCACAATTAATGTCACAAAACTTACCTATTGTAAGCTGTTCCTTCGGGATTTTTTGTTTTTTACGTCATCCTAACCATTTCGTACTTGCGTGCGCAAACAATAGAAACGTCATAATTACCTACCGATTCCTCGCGGCCCCTGATCAAGCAAATCGAGATTTTTTCTATTTTGACTGTATGATTGTATATTTCAACTGTAAGTGCTTTCCTTAATATACGCGCGAGTTACTAGAGTGCTTCCTCGGTATTTCGCCTTCTGGGAGAAATCCCTGCAGGGGCAACAAATTGTTAAAGTACTATGAATATCAACTCACCAAACGTTGCTTAGAGGGAAGACTCGAAGGTTTCATGGTTTCTTCATGGTTTCTTAAGATAATGAAGCTCCTCGAATACCGAATAGCTAAGAAATGTCACGATTTTCATCATTGTCGTAGATGGTTGCGTCATCCTTATTCACGAGGTTGTCAAGTGCGATTCTACTTTAATGAAACAGAACAGTCTTTAAAGGGACAGTGTCCCGATTATGCGCACGCGCGAGTGTCATCTGTTTTTTCTTCAAAACTGTCAAATTGACTCGACAAGATTTCCTTCTGGACCGCACCGCCGACAGAGATTTGTTGTTTATATTCTCAAGTAATATTTTAGACTTTCGAAGAAGTCTTTCGTCTTATATAAAAATTTGGCTCGCGGTTCGAAGACTCATCGCGATTTTATCGCTAGCTGGGCCGCCTCGCGACCCGAAAATCTCGTTCCGCTCGCTTTAAAACATATTTTCTAATTTGAAACTCGTGTCAGAGGTCAATCGCTCCAAGTCCAGTAATATCTGCCTGATTTGCTCGCGTTCTAGCCTCAAACGTTTGAGAGACATAAATAAAAATGCAATCTCAACGCTATGAATCATCACAAAGGTTAGTCAAGAATGATATTATGATTCATGTCACTAGTTTTTCAAAACGTGTAGCGCCTGTTTGTTCGATTTTGTCGGCCGTAGGGAGATTCATTTAAAAGTTTACTAACGCGTCGTTGCAAAACATTCTGCTTCACGAAGCTCCCCTCCACAAGATCTCCTCAGTCACATCAATGTCTCAACGGTTACTTTCTT